TACAATGTTTTTTAATGGATTATTGATAATTAATAAAAAAATAAATTTAATTATTATAGAGCGAACTTAGAATTAATTAGAAAACGTAAAATAAAAACAAAAACGAATGTCTACAACTATATTTATAAGATTTACTTTTTATTAAGAAATTATATTTTGCACATGATTCTCTTAATTATTAATTTTCTTTTAATTATTAATTTTATTAATCCTAATCATGTTATTACTTTAAGATTTCCTTTTTCTTTAATTACTGGCGGATTTTTATTTTTAAAGGGATCCGGAATTTAAAAAATTTTGTTAATTTTTAGCGCGGATTCACTGCAACTTTTTATTCATTAACTCACGTGTCATTCAACTTTTGCTGAATGTATAGGAGAAGCCGTCGGGAGTCCGATTGAAGCTGAGTTTGCCGGGCGGATAGAAATTCCGAGGTGCCGGAGTTGTTATCGCGTTGTATTGCGGCGCGGGGCGAAGTTGAGACTGATAGTGCGGTCTTGGTGGCACATACGAAGGTATGCTTTGCAACTCTGGGGGATGATAACGAGGCGGTGATTGCGGTTGATACTGGTACTGCGATTGAGGCTGCGGTTGATAAACGACAGGTTGTGGCTCGTAATCCGGTTGGTAGCGCCGTGGATATTGCTGAGGCCGTGGCGGCGCGTAGCTCGGGGGTTGATAATCCGGCGGATTATACTGTGCCAGCGGTGCGTATTCCGGCTGTGGTGGCGCCGGCGGGGGTGCACTGGGAATATGATCCCCGGTCGCCTGACGAAAAAAAATTAATGTAATATTCGATTAAGATGCACGAAATAGGAATTGTAAATTGTAAATTTGAGCTTTATATTATCTAATTTCGAGGTAAATTTAAAAAATTAATTAAAAAAAAATGTGCGTTTTACGTACTTGGAAACCATTCTTTCCCGCTGTGTAAGTCACAGTGCGCCTTTGACCGGTTGGATCAATATACGAGTATGATCCACGTCGATTACCGTCCACGTCACTCTCTTCCTTAAATTCCACTCCGTCTTCTTGAGAATAAGCGGCACCGAACGTGCCATCACCTGCGAGATAACGCGCATCGCTTAGAATTGCCGCTTGATGCGGCGGCGATTGATAATGAGGCCCTTGACAGGAGGCACCGATGATGAAACTCCACAGAAGAATCTGTATATGATACAAATGTTTAAATAAAATTTAAATCTAAATTTTTTAATCCAATAAATTTAGATATATAAGAGATATAATTTCTGTTCTTTGAGTTAACATAATATAATTTAATCATGTTTTTTGACACATGATATATTTTATTAACTAATTAATTATCTGTTATCGCATTTTATAAAATTATTTTATTATAAGAGAGATTTAAGAGTAGATGAATACTTACGGCTGCGATGAGCATGTTGAGGGAATAATGGATCCTTAGACAGCGGGAAGCGCAGTAGTGCTCCCAGAAGTCGATGAGAGGGGCGTTTTATACGGCAGGTCGGCTCAGGGCGACCTGGCGAAGAGGCCTTGATGGCAACCCGCGCGTCCCAGTCCCGGTACCAATCTTCCACCACGCCCTGCGAACGATTTCAATACAAGTTTCTAATTCTCATTCCATGTGATAATTTAGGCTTGACATTTTGCTCAATGGCTTGCGAGGAAGTAGAACATATCATTCGCATAGTTTAGAATTTCCAAAATCCGTAACATTTTATAATTTATTTATTAAATTATATTTTTGTAGAAAATCAATTGTACAATAATATTTATTTTTATTTAATAATTAATGTATATTTCACTCTCATAACCAGAATATGTCTGCAATTTATTTATATGCTTTATCATTTTTTCACAGAATCACTCATCGGAATTTTCATTCGGGATAATTTTTAAACTGTCCTTATGACATAAATCTTCTCTGCAAAATTATCTTTGTCTTTATCTTTTCGAAATAAATAATATATTATAAACCGTAAAAATGTGCTTTGACATTTTTTTCTTCTTTAAATTAAATAAAACAAGTATAACTTAAGCAATTCTAATAAATTTATACTTAATAAAGATATAACAATATTAATATAAATAATATAATTAATATAAATAATAAATAAAAACCAAGATGTTACATTGATAATATTTTTATTAAAATATTTTTTAGGGACGTTCAAATCAACAAAAGATTACGGATCATTTTTAATTCCATAATTGCGTTTTAGCATTAATAGACAATAGTTTCTTAAAAAATTAGTAATCTAAAAAGACAATGAAAAACATAAAGAATTAGAGAAAACATTAATATTGCATGCAAGTCTATGTAATATAAAATAACTCAACAAAGTATTATCGATTACGATATATCATATGATCGATATGTAATGTATCAATTTTATGAATGCATTAACGAATTTCAACGTGAAAAATAGGAAAGCCCATGTGCCCCCTCACCGAAACTTTTTGTTGAGAGCTCGCAATTTAAAGACTCAATCCTGAAATCTTTCGCCTATACACTACAGTAGATTATATACCGACTTTACTAAACGCTGTTACCGACTTCCAGTGGATTATCGGAGGCATTTCGGTGTAGAAACTTGGAACATTCTTCGAGGTTGGCGTCGCGCGCGCGATCCTTGAAATTATCTTGTTCTGCCAGGATTTCAAAGTATTCGTTAAAAAAAACAAAAGATTATGCACCTCACTCGTAATAACGTAGCTTTGATTTCACTCGCAAACATACGATGTTACGATCGCGGTAATGAGTTTTTACCGCCGAATTGAAATCGACGGTGCGAGACTTCAGGAAAATCAAGCTGAATGCACGTTAATTGCCTCGGAGAGCGCATATTTTAATCGCGCCGTAATACTTTGCCTATTTGCGCTTCCGATTTCCTCAATAATTCGAAGTATGGCGAAAGCGCGGATCTCGTTACTCTCGGCCTCGAAGCTATCGGACTATTTTTCTCGTTTACGATTATTTCTACATCTCGCAATCGCGTGGCACAGCGCACCGATTATAAAACTTCTCCGGCGGCGTGGCACATTGAATATCCTGTTTCGCGTTTTTTTTATGTCGGCGATTCCAAACGTACGAGTTTCCTGTGTGTACACGCGAATTATTCAGAATTATTCATTTGCCGAACGAAATATCCCCGATTTTTCCCGTCTCTCACCATGATGCGTGACTTCTTGTCGAACTTAAATATTCAATATAACTTTCTATGCTCGGGACTTTGTGAAATTGTACGAAAGCAAATTAATTCATGCGTGGTATTCATCAATCGCGGTAGAAGTACATCGTGTCGGTTGAAATATCGCGTATCATGGATATCATTTGAACGGAAGGAAGTGCATTTCTACATTCACATGTGCGTGAAGTGAATTTCCGGTGCACCGCAATACCAGACGCCGCAGACACCAAATCTTCCAAGTCGATCGGCCAAGAATAATCGACTTTCTCCGCCCGTTTCCTCCTGTTAAATCCTTCTTTTTTCTCCTCTCTTGCCGATCGTACCTTTCGAATCTTATCTATGGCTGCGAATTTTTCCACGTCTCCATTCGCGCGCGCGGACGTTGACTGATGCCGTTCGAAGAGTGCTATGTGTCGCAACGTTCGCCATTTCATCTGTAACTTCGGAAATTGCCGTCGATTTAGCACGAGGAATGGAAAAGGAATGGGCGAAGTTTGTTGAGAAAAGCAGTTTTACAAGATTTTTTATAGTTTCATTCAAAGGACGCGTTTCCTCATTTATAGTCTTTACTCAATACTATAATAATCTTTTGTATGTACCCAGTAATTTTCCTTTATCTGCCCGGTCAATAAATTACCTCTATTTTAAATAGCTTCTCAGAAGGATTCTTTGACGATCGGGAATTATTCGTTTGCCAGATGAAGAAATTCTATTTCCAAAACGAAATGGAAATCATATATTTTATTTCGACATTGAAATAGATAACCAGAGAACTAATGCAATACAAAGTAATCTATTTCTTACGGACTCGATACTAATAGCGTACAAACATAGAAATTCATATTTATACACGAAAAGCAACAGGATACGCTAAGTATTTTGTAGAGTTTTAATTTGCGCGGCTTAATACGTCAATGTGTTAAGCTGGAAGATAACGATCGTTGCTCTAAATACGAGCGGTTGCGTTGCACCTCATCGTATTTAGAGGTTCGCGAGCGTCACGCGGCCGTGTAATTATCGTCATGCGAGAGATTTTCTTTTCGCGCGGTAATAAAGCCGGCCTGGTCTATTATCTCGCAGAATTTATAGATCCGAGCTAAGTAGATCATTTTTATTTCTTTCACCGCTTTCCACCCCTTAATTTTTCAGGTTAGCTATGAATTGCCAGCTTGATGCAGATCGGTAGTGTTTAACGCGCGACGGATCATTTGCGCGTCATAAATTTAAGTGTATGAAACGCAGACGGCATAGTTGCTTACAACATATCGCTAAAAGTGAGATTTTTTTTTCAGCAGGCCGTCATTTAACTAGGAAGAACTCCGCATTGCTTCGATTTGATTTATGCTACTGGAAATATTTTTATATTTCCCTAATTAAGTCTTATAATTCAATTCAGTTAGTTCGTCTTAAATATATAAAAATTGAAATTAAATAAATTAAAATACAAATTAACAAAAAAATAATATCTTAATATTTTTTTTTCTAAAATTAAGGGAAAAATGTATAAAACGTCTCAAAATTGATTAAAATTGTATACATTATTTTATATTTACATAGTGAAATTTCCTGGTCATTTAGAAATTAATATTTTAATTTTGTTTTAATAATTTTATGAAATTATATTATCATTTCGACTAGATCTAAAGAAATATTCTACACTTATAATGCACGAAGCGAGAAATTCTTTTCTTCTCTTATTTTGATTTTTTTTTTGCTTCATGCAATTCTACTGTAATTGTATGAGTACTTGGATGTATTGCAATGAGAATTATTACGGACATTTGCTGTATGGTGCGCTTTCTTCTCGTCTCTACCTCGTTGTTACTTCTCATTTGAGACAATTTAAAGTGCATACGCGAACGTTAACGGCTTCGTTTTAGCGCTCTAAAACGCGGATTCAACTAAAACACATCGCGTTTCGTGTTACATCATCGTAGTCTCGTTAAAATCCTCGAGATCACATAGAATTTAACGATTTCACCATTATTTCTAAAAATTTTAAAAATTCCAAGAATGTGAAGTTGCTTCAACGTATACAACCTTTAATTATAATCTTTTTAATTTAAGCAGGAAAAGAAACTTTTCATACATTGCACATTCTTATCTACTTACATTTTTATTTCTAATTTAGAATGCGTCTATTGATTAACTTATTTAAATTTATGTTCATAAATGCTCTTATATATTAAAATCTTTTATTTTTAATTATCATCCTATTTTCCGTGACATGTATATGATGTCAAAATATGTATATTTTTTTCCTACAAATTTAAAAATAATAGTAGTATCTTCATTGATTCTCCTTCAGAGATACAAGCTACAGAGATCTAACTTATTACATTTACAAACTTGAAAATTATATTTTTGAAATATAATAATTACAATATAACGTTTAATAAGTAAAGAAAATTATCACAAAGAGAAATATAATTAATCACAAGGAGAAACGAGGGATGTTCTTCTCTAATTTTCAGATCTCCAAGTATTTTGCATTTCTATAGGATCATCTAGAACCATTATTTTATAATAATGTTACGTCAGAGACGCAATAGGTAATAATATATTCTTGGAGGATAATATATTCTTGGAGGGGGTCTTTTGTCAGAGTTTGCTCGTTACCTGAGGCGGAATTGCTCTAAAAGTAGGCAGCCACCAGCCGCATGCCCGCACCACCAATTACACCGGGGCGACTACGGCTATATAGAAGAGCCACGCCGACTCCGCCGCTGATTTCTGCGAGTAAACTCGACGCGACAATCCGTGCACATCTCTCTCTCCGCACGCAGTCATGAGACTACTAGTGAGTGTTAAAAATTTTTTGTTTGATTAACCGGCTTCATCGTGTTAATATTAGAATGGTGACAAGAAATATTTTAGGGTGCATTCCGTTACTTGTATGCAAAAATTTATCATTCGCGATTATTGTGAGATAAAATTATATCAACATTATTATATGTAGAAACGCGTTATATATTATATAAAATTAATTGATTAACGATTAATTAACGATCAGAAACCGATTAAAGAACACACTCTTAACAGTTACATTGTTAGAAAACCTTGCAATGTAAAATTTAGTAATATTAAATATGCATTTAGTTTTTCGCATTATGCGCATATTGTAACATATAACCTTGTTTAACATGCAGTGAATTACAAAAGATAAATGACGCATCATGCGCATTATACGAGAAAAGAAATGCACATTTAATAATTCATCAAATTTTGCATTATAAAATTTTCTAATGATGTAATTGTTAAGAGTGAATTGTATTTTTTAATCGGTTGCTGATCGTTAATTAATTGTTAGTCAATTAGTTTTAGATAATATATAATGCATTCTACATATAATAATGTTAATAAGATTTTATCCCATAATAATCGTGAATAATTGTGAATAATAAGTTTTTTAACATTGTATTTTAAAAAACAATTTTTTGCGAGCAACTCTATTACTTTTAGCTTGAACTCAGTTGTACATAACATTGTTGAATACATTTTGTTAATATTATTATTAAATTATAAATTTATTTGTAGATTCTTTTTATTGCGGTGATATCGACCGCGAGAACGGAGAATATTGGAAGGCCTGTTCGTACACCGCAAGGGCAAATTAAGTACGTCGATCCTGATGGTAAGTGCGGAATTACTTTCATCATTCGTAAACGTTATTAAAGCTTTACTTCAGAAACCTTGGCCCCGATGCATCGTAATTAATCGTTGCCGTTACTGCTATCGCAACGCACGCGAGAGTCGATTTTCACATCCCAGATCTTTAGAACAATTCCTTTGTGATCCCCGACTGAGGTCGGCATTGCGTAAACACTAATGATCTACGACCGCGCTAATCTGTGTCAGAGTGACGGAGCACGCCTCTCGGTGTTGCAGGTTTGAGGGTCAACTGGGAACTCGGGGAACAGAGGCAGTGGCAGCGGCAATTGGCTAACGCTCAGCGGTCCCAGCGCGCTGAGGGTGGTTCGCCGCATCGCCTGCGACAGGCCCAGCAATCAGCTCCGCAATATCGTGCCCCGGCCCCACAACCTCAACCCCAGCAAATCCAGCAGGGTCAGCAACCGCAATACTACAAGCCATATTCGGCGGTGCCGAGTCACATCAGACAGCTGATCAACTCGGTCTATCAGCCGCAAGCTCCTTACGTCGATCCCTCG